GTCACCGCCAATCTGGCAAGTACTAGGCTCGATGGTTTACCTCAAAAAGGCTGGAAAGCTGCACATATTTGTACTTTAAGGTCTACAACGGCTTGCTAGCAAGTTTGTAGCCTCAAAGTTGCCGTGTTTTGTAACCCTGACTGAATTGAAGCCGCAAAATCCAGATTGGGATCAAAGTGTACAGGCGGTAAGGCCACGAAATGAGCTCGGCATCATATCAGCCAGACTGCATGCGGCCCGCCAAGGAATTCAACAAAAGGTAAACATGACAAACGATATATGATATAGAACACAGAAGTACTGGAGCCTATCCCAGGAGTCTTTGGGCAGTAGGCGGGGGACACCCTGAACCGGTTGACAGCCAATCGCAGGGCTATTTACGGAACCCTAGAATTAAACTTGACCTCTAACACTCACACAAATGCTAATTGTAACCCGAAATCCATCCTGTCAACAATAGCCCCTAACCTGAAAGCTAACCTAAACAAATTCTAATGCCAAACCCTTAACCTCTGAGCCCAACACTAACTCCCTCTTAACTCAAGACACACCGTGGACCCAATGGACAACCCTGAACCGTCTGAAAACAAGTACAGGACGATCCTAGGTTGCTTGAAATAAATGGTACTACCGGATTGGATCAACCACCGTTGAATGTGGAGAAGCAGACCTCCTTCTCAGTCCCTGTAGCCAGAAAGACGTTGCAGAGTTCAACATACATGCAAAAAATCTATGTGAAGACACGGGAGACTGCTATATAACATCACTTTGAAGACCCAAAAAGAAGACTAACTTTTAAGCCTAAAACCCTAGCCATCACCCTAACCCATAAACCCACAAGCCCAACACTCACCCATGAGCCTGAGCCTAAATCAAAGCCTTGGACTTTGAGGGGACGTCTATTAACCTTTTCAGCGACGGCGGTTACTATAGTGGAAAGCTTTCCACGTTATCAGGTTACAGGGGGCATGAAAGGGTTATATCATCCGATGCCCCTAGTTCTGAAAACCGAGGTCAATCCATGTGTCCTTTTGACCCGATTCACTCAGTCAGTTTCCTTAGTAAGCATCCAAGTATGCTCGTGACATGATGAGTGCGCACATTTTGGCTCCAGACCATTAGATGAGATCATGAGTGTTCAGTGCATGAGTTGGATCCACTCCCGCGCAAGGGAAGCAGGACGAACGATACGACCTCAGATGGGGGAAGACGATAACCGTGAGATTGTTATTGATCGTTTATTCCTAATGGAGCCAGATTGGAGTGCACACTTCTTCCATGTCTCTGGCGCTGGGCAACTGTGGGAATTCTGGCTTTTACCATTTTTTTTTAGGGGGGAAGAGGCCTGATTTTGATCTGAAGTTCTCTGATTTCATGTCGACTTGGTTTCTATTGACATTGCCGTGACGTGTATCCAAATCGTGCCACTGAAGAACATTAAAAAATAAAATACTGAATTGGATAACATGAACCATGCAGTGTGTAACCAGTCCGACGGGTTACTTCAGCATTTTTTAGAGGTATCCTTAGTGTGTGAATGTGTTGAGCAAAACACTTCATCCTTGATTGCGTTTTAGCCGAAAGATCAAATGTTATCGCAGGGATTGAAAAAAAAAAAATAATAATGAAAGTCTCGGGATCGGGCACAACTTCGCATTGAGATTCAGGTGAGCTGGCGACATTCGAGCAGCAGCAGCAGCAACAGCATGTTGTGCAAGCTGATTTAAATTTTTTTTTTTTTTTGGGGGGCGGGGTGGTTCCCAAAACATGTTTGTTTGAGTGCGCAAGCGCTATCGCCACGGGAATCCAATTATGAGCCGATCCAAGAAGCGAGTGTGTCAGGTGCTGCTGAACAAGGTCTGATCAGACTCAACACATCCGTGCGGGCCTTCCACAGTGGGCCTGAACACAAAAACAGTTTCGTATTTTCAGAGATACGCTGGCTAGTCATTGTATGTGTTCGCCTCACATATTCTTCTTTAGTGCCATTGATAGGTTTCGGTTGGGGAAAAATAGCTGTGCCTAAATGATAAAGAGTTGCCGTGGAGTACCCCAAGGCACACCAATGGGCTACCTACCAGACTTCACAATGCAGTCCATGATAATAACAAAAACTGAAATACTACAAGTTCTGTCCAAAAGCCACCCTTTGATTTATTGTTTAATTAAGGGCTACTTAAAAACAACAGGATATGAAGTACAGGTAGAACATTTGACAGTTTTCGCAAAGTATGTCCTGAAGTACTTCACTTCAAAGCAGAGAAAATGTGTAAAATCGGCCCAACTTGTGGCATTTTTTTAGCACAAGTATACATTTAATAAATGAATGGAAGAAAATCAACACTGAATATTTTGAGTTTTATCCACTTAAATCGATCAAGTCATTTTACCGCACTGCAGATATTTTTAGGGCACGTCGGGTTAACGATCCTCCAACATCAGCCAGAAGAAGGATACAACTCTCGATTTATGATGCAAATGGGGTATTAAATGTCATGAATATAAAGGGCCAATACTGGTTCTGACAGGGCTCGTAGTCACCACACAGAGCCACCACAAAAAAAAAAAAAAATGGATGAATGTCAGACTCAGTCATGAGTTTTGCGAGTTATTATGTCAAAAAAAACCAAAAAATAAAGCACTTCATATAATGTAATGCCCTCGCATGTGGGCAAGGAGAGCCACAGTAGCCGAAGCGCTTTCTGACATTCCTTGGACAGAAGGAGCGACTCCAAAGCCATTTCGGAAGGCCACGCCCCTGAAAGGCACACATCCAACACACGAATACTGCAGCTCATACACTCATTGAACTTTGTGAAACGAGATTTTATGTTTGCATACAATACAGGGCTATTTTTCTCTCGATTAAATGCACCAAAAATAACATGGTGGTGATTTTCATTGGGCACAGAAAGTCATAACGGGGAAAATCGGTTTGCTATCCGAGCAAATTGCTTGGTCAGGGAACGAATTAAATGAAGACAATGTACTGTATGTGACTCACTCGAGCACAGACCTCGACGACGGTCCAACTGTTAACAGGAGAGAAAAAAAAACAAATTCCGGCATGCCGTATTTATTCATCCATCTGTTGCATTCTACAAAAATGACTTTTTCCTCTGTCGTTATGAGTCAGCACAGGTGCAGACAGAAAAACCCATCAATACATTTCTGCATCTGCACGAATATCGCGAACCTCACCATAGTGTTACGGGGGCAGCCCCTTGTACACAGCGTACAAAGATCTTGTTTGCTCCTATTTACTTTCTGTTTACGAGATGTGAAAAATGTCATTCCAACAACAAAGTGCTGCGTGGGCTCGTCGATGAATAGCAAACACTTAAGAGGAAATCACAGTCCTAATGAAGAAGCTCTCGGCACATCAAGCTTTATTGGGCAAAACTTTTTTTTTTAAATAAGCCTGAATTGTAATGGCCAATAATACTTGGCTTTTAGTCATTATGGCAAATAATTCACCTCGATGACTTTGAAAGTCGTAAGAGTACGTTGCGTGCCATACTGCGGTGTTTGTCGACCTTTAATGAAGCAGAGCACAGATGTCACGTTGGAAAACGCCGCCAAACAAAACTGTCACGATCAATGTATGCACAGATATTTTGAAATAAGGAGGAACTTGTCTCTATTTAATCACTTTTTTTTTTTTTTACTCATCGTGAAATCAGTTTTTAGTTAAACAAAGCTGATAAATTGGCTAGACAGACACACGGAGATCTAAAATAAATCAGTGATGCTTTGACATATGATTTGAATTTGTTCCGTGACCAAGCTCGTACTGTAATTGAGTTTCCACATCTTAAACTTTCCCTTTTAAAATGCCATAAATCCAAATTTTAGCCTTTGTGATGTGAAAATTACATTCAACTATATAGTCTTTGGCCTATTATGATGTGGCAATAAGTGCAATATTTTGCCATGCTTGAGTCCTGGGCCGGTTTTTAATGTAGTTCCTGAGCCGACAAAATGTTTGAGTACCCCGTTCCTCCAAGGACCCCCCTCATGTGTACACTGTTTTTGCATGCAATTGCACAAACAGAGCCCTTGAGGGATTGATTAGTGGCTTGTTTTTCTTGTTGTGGAGCTCTTGCTATTAATGATGCAATGGTCTTCATTTGTGCATCATCTCTCATGAATACATTGTGTCAGTATTGAGCTACTTAGCAGATTTTTATTCAAAGTAGGGTAACATTTACTCTATTAAATTGACTCTTTTGGGATAAATTGTAGGCCAGTTGGCAGAGTAGTTTTTTGGTGTTACTTTGGTATTTTTGTTAAAAAGAAAGGCTACTTCTACACACTTACATGGAGTTACATTCCAAGTACGACTGAAATTTCATTCCATTTGACTAATCAAACAGTGTCATGCGGTCACATGACTACACACAGTCGCCATGCCCCCTCCCCCCCACAAGGAGCCTACGTTTAGTGAAGTACACTGGGTAGTAAAATATAGAAATAGGATGCGGCGAGAAAAAGCAATCCACAATTCATACACAGCACTTGGGATAAAGATATAAATTGGAAGTACTGTACTGACATTTTTGAGGAATGAAAGGGACGTCAAAATCGCTGCTAACTTTATCCACATGTCAGATTTCAATTGATTTTTTTTTTTATTACATAATTGAAATGTCTGCCTGGTGTGCTGTTTCGCAGGAGTGAACAAATGAAGCTGATTAAAGACCATTTCTTTGGCTGAATTTTCTTTTGTTAAATGTTTCGGGTTTCTTTTCTAAAATGTTGTCTTAAAAAGTGATATCATTGTGCAAAATTAACCTTTGCAAAGTTTTGGACTATTTTCTTTTCACTGAATACTGACTGAATACTACGTCATTATTTTATTAAAGTAACAGAACTTAAGTAGAATTTTTGGCTCCTCTGACCACCTCAGTTCCTTCCGGAACTGGATTGGGTGGGTGGGGTGTGAATGCAACCACACAAATCCGAGATGTCACCTTGAGACTTCATTTGAGCCAACCAACCTTCATGATGCCGCAAGGTGTGTTGGCTCCTCCCTGGCTCCTCTCCGTGGACGGATCTCGGCTACGACTGCCCACCGTCGGGCTGCTCAGCTCCCGATACCGGCCATTGCTGTACACTCCCTCGGCTCCGAAGCCCCGAGCAGAGCCGGCAGACACCTCTAAGTAGGGCCGGGTGCCGCCACCTCCGCCGCCGCCGGAGGCTTGCGTCGGCCGGCTCAAGTCCAGAAAATGTCCCGACGGATCCGAAGAAGCGTGGAGCCCCGCCATGGTTCAGAAAAGCAGAAGCAGCAGCACCTCCGCGGTGTCGCGGCAGCAGCCCATTTTGGTTTTTAACCCGCACAAAAAAGGCGATTCGGACTTCGCGCGGTGCCCGAAACAGGGAGCCGGCCGGCCGGTGCCCCTCACTTCTTCTCCTCCGCCCCTTCCCGGCGACTGGCCCGCAGCTCGGAAGCGGTCCGGGCGGGGGGTGGGGGGGTTCCAAACCAGGTTCTGGTCCCGAAGAGCTGCGCTCCTACTCCACTTGTGCTCGTGTCGAACCGGGACCGTCTTGTTGGGTTTCGCAGCCACCCACCCGCGCGCACGCAAACACAAGCACGCACACGTACACACGTGCACACACAAACTAACAGACACACGGATAGAAGAGAAACCCGCGCACACGCAACCGGCGTGCATCCGCGGGACAAATTCAAGACTGTGCGTGCACGAGCGCGACGCGGGCATGGTGCCGCTCGTGCCCGACGTGCGCGCGAACCGCGCTCACCACGCAAAGTGAAGCAGCACCATGAGAACTGCATCCGTTTAACAGTTTGACAAATGGCCAGTGGTGGGAACGAAATGGACGTACGAACCTGAAAAATTTACATAAGTATTTGTACTTATGTAGATGTTTTGCAGCTGTCGGTACTGTGTATGAATACCTATTTATTTATCCAGCAATGATAAGAGTTTTGACAATCTGTAGTTCAGTAGAAGTGCAAATGCTACTGTGGAAAAAATAGGGAGTAAGAGTAAAATAAAATGAATTGATCCTGACAAAATGACTTTAGTCCAGTTATCAAGTATTTGTGATGATATAGTTTTGTCAGCTGTTCGTACTTTATATCAGTACCTATTCATTTTTCCAGCAAAAAAAAAAAACCCTCCTCACAATCTATACTTAAGTAGAAGTACAAATTCTACTGTAAATAATAATAATAATCAAAATGACGTCGGGAGTGACGATGAAAGGTCATGAGAAAAATAAATACTCAAGTAAATACCAATACTTAAAAAAGTATGTAATTGCAATTACAAAGTATTTGTACTTATGTAGCTTTTCAGATATTGGTACCAGTACTATACAGTATATACTGTATACGAGTTTGTATTTATTTTCCAGAAGTGAAAAAAAAAACACTCACACTCTGTACAAAAGTATAAGTACACATGGTTGTGTAAAAAGAAAAAAAAGAAAAAGTTAAGTCGCGAAAAAACATAAAAAGTCGCCACCGATAACATGAATACTTAACTCAAGCACAGATACCTGAAAATACCCTTAGCGGAAAGTAAAGTAACAAAGTATATGTACTTATATCGATTTTTCAGACATCAGTACTGGAGAGTAAACGAAGAAAACAGAAAAGACTGAAAATTAAATACAGTACTCACGTAAAGTAAATAAAAGCTTACTGGCTCTTTTCAGCAAGCCATGTCCCGATATTTTTGTCCGCTGCCATCGTTAATCAATTCCCAGCATTCACACAAAAGAAAAAAATCAAGCGGCACACACGTGACTTATTATTGTAATCAGTCGTGATCATTACGCTTTGGAGGTCAGCGCTATCTGCTGGGAGGGCGGGACGGATACCGGTATTTAAGGGGTCAAAGGTCACTTTGTCAGGTTTTCCCAGGAGGCAGGATGTTGGCCTCGCTGGTGATAAGTGGGTCCATGTGTAGCCACAACAGCACAAACGTCCTCCCGCTCTCAGGCTGGAATGAGAAACGTGAGGTCACGTGACACACGTGACATCATGTGACCAGGATGTCTGAATATGAGTGTGTGCCGTGGGACAGGAAGAAGCGGACACACTCCGCCACTCGTGTCCTCACTTCCTTTCCTGGCTCATGCATTATGCATCGTCAGAAATTATTTAGCAAAAGTTGTGCTTTTAAAAGCTCCGGCACTAACTGCCGCGCTTTAATGTCACATGATGTCCTCTTTTAAACACGCAAGATTCCAAATATTTGGCTTTTTCCGCCACAGAATCTGAAAATGGAATTTACGTCTCTGAATAGGCTTCTTAGTACCATATGGTTTAAGCACTAACTACTGAAAGCCCCCCGTGGTTGAAATATATGTCTTACCCATGCTATGACAATGAGGCACTCTAAAGTGGCCACATCGATGCATAGGCCCTCTCCACATGCTGGCTGTCAAGTCAGACTTCAAAAATAAATAAATAAATTCATTCCGCTCTCTCTTCAGTCTTTTTCTAGATCATGTGCATGCACTCAGAGCCAACAATGAGGCACTCTAAAGTGGCCACATCGATGCATAGGCCCTGTGCACATGCTGGCTGTCAAGTCAGACTTCAAAATAAATAAATTCAATCCTCTCTCTCTATTCAGTCTCTCTCTGGATCATGTGCGTGCACTCAGAGCCAACAATGAGGCACTCAAAAGAGGAATATGCATGATCGTGTAGGCAGAGCTCACTGTTCATTCTGCTGGTACATACTGACTGAGTCTTTTCGTGTTTTCAGCGTTATCGTCAAAACATGTATTCGGAAATAAATATATGGAACAACTTCAACAACATCTCAGATTATGTTCCACTCCCTAACAAATCAACTGATCGAATTGAATTGAAACAAAGGGTTTGATCTGCATCAGCAACAAAGTAAACGAAAATCTTTTTTTTTTTTCCAAAAAGTTTTCCAACAGTTGGAGGTTTGCAGTCGTTTCCTGTGGCGGGATGTCAGCCAGTCGGCCTGCATTACGCGGCACAGCGCCACTCCTGCTGTCGGCCTCTGATTGGAAGATCTTCGAAGACTGCCGTAATCGCTCGAGGGCTCTAATGGCCCTTCTCCCCACCCTCCCCTCCTCGTCTTCCTCCTCCTCCTGCAGCTGGGATGTATTGATGACAGGCGCCTATTGATCACTTCTGCTTATCCCAGCAGGCTTCCAAAGAGGGAGGCAGAGGGAGGGAAGAGGGGCCGACGGGGTCACGCGGTCAAACGGGGATTTATTGCCGCTTGGGAGGACCACAGGAGAGAGAACGGTTTTGTTTGAATATCTCTTGTTTGTCAAAAAACAAACAAAACAAAACAAAAAAAAAACATACAAAGAATTTGGGTAAAAAATTGGACCAACCTGCTACTTGGGTATATTAGACCTAACTTTGTGTTGTTACAACCCAATTTTGGGGGGTTATTTTGGAAAAGAAATGGGTTGTTTAGTGCAAACAACCCAGAATAAGAAGTGTAATTGAATCATAGGTCTGTCCAACTTTTGACTCAAATTGCGTTATTTCTGAGCCCAGCAGTTTTAGGAGTGTAGGTAACGTCAGCTCTTAACACAGTTGAGTCAAAAATAACCCAAATTGTGTCAAAAAAGGACAAACTCAAATTTGGGGGTTAGATATTGAACGCCCAAAGTTGATTCATATGAATGAACCACAAAACAACAAAATTCTTTGGGCGTTTTGTGGGTTTTTCATTTTGACCCAATTTAAATGGACACAGCAATCCAAATAGTTGTGCCAGTCTTTTTGACTAAATTTCGGGTATTTTTCACCCAACTGATTTTAGAGTGTAGGTACACAGATAAATGAAATGACCCTCAAACAACCCGGTTTATTGATGTTTTCTGAATGAATAACACAGAATGAATCATCATCGGTATCATCATCATTGTGCTGTGACGAAAGGGACTGACGCTTGTTATTATTATTATTTTTTGGGGGTTGTGTAACAAAAATAAAATATAAAAAGCACAACAGTGCATTGACTTTGCATATAATATTCTTATGTTAGCGTGCTGCTTTGAAAATACTTCAGTAAATCACGTGATTTCAGGTCCCCTGAAAGCAAGATGTCGCCCCAAGTTTGATTTACTGTGTTTTGCTGACACCTACCGGTAGACAGAGGTTACGCTAACATAAATTGAGTCCAGCGAGTGCTCGGTTTAGACGGGGTTTCCCTCCTATGAGGATGCCGTACCCCGACCTTGTACGTAAGTCGTAAATGAGGACTATCAGTACATATATATTTTTTCATGGTTTGATGCGCTTTAAACGTTTTTTTTTTAAATAACCTATGCTGTTTGAAGTATTAACGATGAACGAGAATAGAAGAGTAAAATTAGAACAATATATTTTAAAAGCGGCTCCGATAATGGATAATAGATTTTAAAGAAACACGTTACAATATATGTCTGATTTATTAGATATTTCAATTCATTTCTATGGGATTTGGTGTGTACAAATCACCCCAGCTGAGTCACAGTGTGTGTTCAACAATTTCCCAGTTAATACAAAAATATGTAATTAAAGATTACAGACTCTGTAATATGGACCCCTAATTATTTATCATCTAAATTATTGTTTATTTTTTTTCTCATATCTTCCTTTTAGGCTTTTTCGAGGTTAGCTATTTGGCATTTAAGACCCCCCCCCCCGCCCGCGAAATATTTTTTTTGTCCACTAGAGGGCAACAGAGGAAGAGTGAGGATTCTCACGTGTCCTGTGCCAAAACGGAGAAAAAGGCATTTTTGCATGTTTTTTAAAATAGAGCAGTGGGTGGGTACGTTAGGAAATACGGACCACATACGTGCGAATAAATAAAGCCACAGCATAATTATACTTTAGGAAAAATACAGTAAAAAAAACGGAAAAATCCAATTCTAAAGTTAGGCAGCATTTCTATCAATTTTACGATAATATAAAATATCCAACGAGATATGGCCTCTTCTATTTTACTTTGTTTGAATTGCTTTTTTATTTTGTTCATTGAGTCTTTTTTTCCAATCTTAAGAACCTTGTTCCTCTGCTTTGAAAGGCACTATGGGTAGATTTCTTAGATTTTAAAAAAAGTTCCCAACCTCTGATATCACAATGAGCTAAAATATCTTTTTGTAACCACTAAATCCATTAGGGGTTGCATTCAAGCCACCACATCAGACTTTAAAACTTAAAAAATAGAGCATTTATTTAGTAGCAACATGTCTTCACAGGGGCTCCAGGTGAAATTTTATATATATATATATATATATATATATATATATAAAATTCACTTCATTTTGACACCAAGGACAGCTTTCGCTTCCTCTCTCTGGAAAAACCTCCAAAGCACAAACATGACAAAGGCCACAGTGACGCAAGACGACACAAAGCTTACAAAAAGCTCCAAGTGGGGAAAAAAAATTACACAAAAAGAAATAAACACATGAATTGAATTGAGGTTCACCTTATAGGCTGAAAGGTGGACATTTGACACATGAAATCTATTTTCATATAATCACGCAGCTTCTTCTGTTGGGAGTAGATGAATACATTCCTGAGAATGAAGCTTTGTGTGTGTCCTTCAACCTATGACGCACTGTAAACAGTACACTGGACAAATGTACCGTATCTCTTACGACACAGGCCGTGACAATAACTCCACTTTGGAGTTTCAACAGCAAAAGCATCTGGATTGCACGCAAAATAAAATGGCCGCAGTGGTGTCACATTTACTTCTAACTTCAACATATAGTGATGCCTTGAGATATGAGTGACCCAACTTCAGTTTTTTTTTTTTTTTCTGGGTAGGAGCTGTCGTTTGGCCGATGATTTCATTACTTCAAAATAAGCAACACTTTGGCAAATCGTTCATTCTTCATCGAGGCATCAACCTCTTCATTATGTTTCCTGTCAAAGTGAACATAAAACAAAGAGAATCAGAGCTTTTGCATTTAAAACAACCAAACCAATTTACCTGAAGAACGGCTCGCAGAAAAGTCATTGATTCCAGATTTCTATTGCGATTCCATTTTTTTTTCTGGGTAGGAGCTGTCGTTTGGCCGATTATTTCATTACTTCAAAATCAGCAACACTTTGGCAAATCGTTCCTTCTTCATCGAGGCCTCAACCTCTTGATTATGTTTCCTGTCAAAGTGAACATAAAACTAAAAGAATCAGAGCTTTTGCATTTAAAACAACCAAAAAAATTTACCTGAAGAACGGCTAGCAGAAAACTCATTGATTCCAGATTTCTGTTGCGATTCCAGAACTTGGACTCTGTCATGTAAATCCATCTGCAGGTGGACTTTGTGCCATAATTGTGTCAGTTACACAGAAGGTATAAAGACGGCGGCCTGTGAGAGATGAATTAAGGCAAGGCAGCACCGATGAGGAGGTCTGGAACACGGGAGGGGGGGGGGTTTTTGGGGGCTGAGAGGACAAGCAGGTAGCGTTGTTGAACAAATAGCTCCGGACAATAGACAAAGGTGCCAAAGTGCACCCAAGCGAGGTTGTAGCTGGTGAACGGATCCGAGTGAGTGGTCGTACGCGTAACCACTTTGCTGTGAGTGTTTGCCGTAACGAGAAAAAGCTCTTGAGTAAAGTTCCAGTTTTTTTTTGTCCAAAGACAGCATTCATTCAAAGCCCAGATATATAATACAAAAGTCTTCGTACAGTAGCACGTATGTTAAAATCAAGAGAATGCATGCAGACTGACAATTGAACACTATAGATATCTTTTTTTAACCAATACTGTAACACTGTCGGTTTTCCACTGAAACCTTGTACAAATACTTATGGACACAAATAATAAAACTTCACACAGAAAACAAAATAAAACCACAACCGTTATTAACAATTCACATTATAGCAATGAAGGGAGAGGGCAAAACAGACAAAGATGATCGGAATTAAACCCATGAGCGATGTCAAGTGGAAGGGGCGGGGCTGGTTGGGTTGGTTGGGTGCGGTCACGACTGCTGGCCGCCCCAATGGCTCTCCACGGGCCGTCGCAGCAGCTCCTCCACGTGCCGCGCCACGTCCATGGTGTCGTCCAGGTCGAAGTCTCCGTCCGCATCCAGCATGGATTCGCTCCTGCGTGCAGGCCGTGAAAATGACTCTGGTCAGGTTGCTGCTGTTTTGGATTTCATAACAACCCGTTTAGGGAGTACAGAGTCAAGCCAAAATGATACGAGAAGCTGCCCGTCAGGCATTAAACCAGTTGGGCAAAAATCCTCAGAGAGCCGTACTATACAGATGAATTGAGGGAACAGAAGATTCGTCATCAAACTAATTCTCAGCTCTTCCGATTTGTACAGCAGCCCGTTTAGGCAGCCAAATAGCTGGACCGAAATGAAGCAGGTCCCTGGCTGCATGCCACCACACAGAACGAGCAGCAAATTAGCAAACATGAATCCCACGTTTTTCAGGTTGCTACTACTTTGGAATTTAACAACAGCCCGTTTAGGGAGCGAAGTAGACGTGCCAAAATGTACAACGTAGTTGGACTGAAAGTGAATTGAGCCTGCGGCTTGGTCGCTTTCCCTTTTCATTTCTACCGTGACAAGTGAAAGTGAATCGCAGCCTGAACAGGATGCCGACACCATCAATGCGGAATCCCGTTAAGGCAGCAGAGTAAATGGGCGAAAAAATAAATAAATGGATAAATCATGCCCGTCTCTTCATTTACGCGGTGCGGTGACTCACATGGGTGGGTACAAGCCAAAGGTGTGAGGATGACTAACAGGTGCAGGAGAGGCGCCGTGATCCATGTATGTCGCGTTCCCACTTGTCGGATCGGGATTGGCCGTTGTAAACCTGCGAAGAACATGGGTGCGCGCACGCGCGCAAAATAAAAGCAATGAATCGTTAATCCAGTCGTCTAAGCAACCATCCACAGCGTGAGTTCCGTGCCCCGCTGCATCATTACAGCCAAGCGGTGGCCGGAGCGAAGCCGGAGCGGCGCTCGGCGGCTAACGAGGCTAACTCTAATGATGAGCGGAGGACACGCTCGCTCAGGAGCCCCTCTGCATCTTTTAATTGGCCTCCTCCAACTGTAAGCGCTAAGTAATTGCTGATCTGTAATGCAGGATCCAATAGCCGATGATTACCAAGAAAGAACGGAAGGGGGAAGAGGGCAACTCACTCAGGCACCACTTGTTTGATTTGCGGCTTCACGTAGCCATCCACCGCTTTTGCTGCACGGAGAAAAGAGAAACATTGGAAGCCATCGAAACATAGAAAGAGCCTGAAAAGGAGCTTCCGTGAGACGGCGCCGCTTACAGAGGGGAGGGGTGTAATACTTGGAGAAGACGTCGTCCTTGGGCCTGTCGGGGTAGAGGAAGAGGAGGTGGTTGAGATCGCTGATGCGGTCGGCCAGAGAGCGAATGGTGAAGTCTTTGGTTGTGTAGGGCATGAGGTTCCACACCATTCTCTCGCCTGGAAAACCGAACATGTCCGTTGGATTTCGGGAAGGACATTTCAAGACATCAAGGAGAGTCACAATTTTTTTTTTAATACGAAACATGACTGAATGGGTGCAGCACAGTGGTTTTAAGTAGTGTGCTTTGTACAAAAAATGCCCGCCTTGTCGGGTTGCTGCCACTGACTGAAACTTAGTGGTTGTGGCTGGGCAAAAAAATGCATTGTTCATCCGACCGATTGCTTTGCGCGTTTTATTTGTGACGCATCCCGTTCAAGCAACAAAATAATCAGGCCCAAATGAATGAAAATGCCTGCTGCCACCATAGCGTTCTACCGCAACCTGTTTACAGAGCATAGTAGCTGGGCTTAAAATCAATTATTCTGCTGGCTGCTTGCTTGCGCTTTCAATCTGTAGTGCATTTTTGTTTAGGCGGCGCAGTAGTTACGCATTGCACCTCTGGCTGATTGCTTCCATGTTGGTTTTGCTGCTTCCGTTTCTTGCGATTGAATTTAAAATGAAAAGTGCTTTACACATTTTATGTTCTACATAATTGTAATTAATGTTCTACTGCAGTCCATTTAGGCAATACAATAGGTTAGCATCAACTGCGCTTCAGGCTAATCGCGTCTGCATTTGGATTTTACTGCAGCCTGTATAGGCAGCAACGTAATTAGACCAAAATGAATCATCATAAAATCCCGCGAAGAATATTCAACCCCCTCCAAATCACTTTTAACAATCATTTTTTTCCGCACTCTGTACATTTACAGTTCCCCAATTTGCTGTTGGTATCTTTCATTAGCTGGGAATAACATGAATGAATATAGATCATAATTTAATTTGCTTTTAAATCTCATGAACATGTCTCTGAGTTTTCCTGCAGCCCGTTCAGGCAGTAGAGTCGGTGTTGTTTGTCATCCCCTCGAGAGGCAACACATTTTGCTCGGTTGAAATGCAGCAATTTGTCACTCTGCTTCTGTAATCTCCCAACACCTGTACCTGCTTTGTTTGGGTTTTCGGCCACCCAGGCGATTGTGACCCCTCCGATCTCAGAGTCGCTAAAGCGCAGGAGGAAAGTGCCGTTGGGTTTGGACATCAGCATATCTTGAGCCTGCTGCTTGTTCACAAAGCCCAGGATGGCTCTGGAAAAATAAAAGGAGAGAAGCGATAGGATGTCTTTTATCCGCCGTCCTTCCCTCCACACGAGACACCAAATATGCTCCATTTGATCTCCGCGTACGCTGGTTGCCGTGGAGCAGCCAATGACATTATTGTCCATTTTTTCGCGAGCAGAACAACACACTGCATTTTCCGGTACCCTCCACACTGAGAGAAATCGCTCACCCGTCATTCCAGTGCGGCTTGAGATGCTTCTTTGTCAGCTCCATCACGCCGTCGAACCATTGCCAAAAAGTGAAATTCCTGCCGGGCAAGCTTTCCTGATGAGTGGAGGACATTATCAGTGACGGGCTTTCCGTCAGATGGGACGGAACGGTCCATCAGTCCCAGACAGACGCACATTTTTGGGATGGAGGATGAAAAGTTTTTAAAAAATGGACAGAAGTGGGTTTTCGTCCATCCCTTTCATCGTCCCTATCCGGGTTAAGTATGGGGTGCCAGGAGGCAAAATAACAAGGCCAGAGTGTCGCCAAACACTGCATTTTCTTAACAGGCAATGAACTCATTCACTCCCAAAGACGTTTTTAAACGTCTTTTCAGACTTGGTCAAGAATTGGCTGGTACTGAATGAGTTAACAACACAACATTTTTCCTTGCAACAGTAATTTTTATAGCATCACTGCCACCTAGTGTCCAGTCAGAGAACACAAAGTACCTACGGACACCCATTTCACCAACGAATAATACAGCCGCTTAAGAAAGCTGGCTGTGTTATATGTTTCTCGGCCCCCGCCCACCAAGATGCTTTTGCCATTTTGAGGCACGGATTTCTTAAAGGAAAGTTTTTATTGTTATTATTTTATTTTATCCTAGTGTGTGTTGGGAAATGCTAATGTTGAGTTGCTTATCACGAAAACATAAAAAATATAAAGAAACAGTCATGTCAGACGGAGGATGAGTGTTCTCTGAATAAGGACGAACGCACGTTGCAATAGACGCTCTTCGTCTTTGCCACCAAAATGCGACCCAGCGTGAGGAATCCGAACTGACAATGCGCGTCGTTTGTTTGCGCCCGTTTCGCTGGCGTTATCATAATCGAATGACGCATAATTGCCATATTGTGTTGTCTGCTTTGCGAGATGGAAAATAAGGTGTTGTCTTTTCACGGCGCGGGCAAACAGAGTCATTAAGAGGACGACTAAGCTCATTTCACACGACTGGAGGCGTGGAATTGCACTGGGAAGGGGGGAAGGGGGGGGTGCTGCAAAAACGGCGGGACAAATAGTTCTGTGAGTGTGAGTGCTGCATCCCTCGGTAGAAAACAATCATGCTTTGCAAATGGCTGAGTAATTCTGGCCTGTGGGAAGAGGCAACAGGGAAGAGGGGGGGAAAAAAAAAGTCTCGAGGAGCATTGAAAACAACAAGTCATTATATTGTGGCTACAGAGAGGGAAAATCACGAGGAAACTGACTCTGTTAAACTGTGACCAGGTCATTGTCATGTTGCGATCGTCCTCGATGCTGGTGCTGGAGTTGCCGAAAGCTTTCTGGGCGAGGAAGACCAGGTTCTCCTCGGATAGGCCGCGGTTGCTCTGCACCTCCGCCTTATATTTCATGTTGATGGCCTCGCACAGCTGAGGCCACAGAACCTTGTCCGGAACCAGGAAAGGCACGCGGCCCTGAGGACAACAGGCAAAAGCCAGGATGCTCCAGAATTAGCATGGAAACGTGCGCTAAACGTAAACAGCATTAATGTCCTCCAGACTGATGGATAGACTAAAATTCAACGTCTCTAAAAGATTATCCTGAGTGATTATTTTGTGGGGTGCTAAAGTGATTTTATCCCGCCCAATCAAAATGGGCAAAAGCCAACGTCATCAGACGTTTCGAAAAATCATGACAAATCCAAAACTATTTACCCTGGTGGGGATGCATGAAAGGCATGGCAAGATGTATGCCGTGCTCCAACATGGTACACTTTTTGACCCCAAAGGAGGTCTAAAGGTTTACCATTAGAGATGATGAGTCACCGCGTTACACACCACTGAGCACAGTGGGCTACATTTATCAACAGTGAATGAAATGTTGCCCCCCCTGCTGTGCTGAGGCAGACCTGAAAACCTTCCGCGGGGCATTCATGCTCCTGCTGTTGCTATTTCTGCGTACTTCTCACCACCCGCCGTGCCCGACGACTGCTGAGTGGTACGCGGGTCATGAGAGATCTTTAAAGATGGATTTTTGGCCGAAAGTTTTCGCATTTTGACCAATCAGAGCATTTGGAGAGTGTTGAAAAGATGCATGACATCGTCTCTGTTTCGGCGTGGTCAGTTTTTCACTTAAAAAAAAAAAAAACATGCATCATTCAGAAGGAGACACGCTGTCATACAACAATTGAGATGAAGGAATATAACCCTCTTCATAAAGCTAATTCAAAATTGAAATATTAAATAAAAAGTTCGAGCTCAGACCCTAACCCTAAATTCAAACCCACGACTGGAAAACAGAAATCGAGATTGAAATCTATTATTGGATCCCTGAATTAACCTGAACCAACAATTCAAACGCTTTCCCCAAATTGAAGCCCAAAAGTGAAACCTTCTGCAGAAAAAAATGTAAAACTCAGTCGAAATTGAATGCCGAACCCTAAATTGAAACCCTAACTCTGAAGAAATACATAAAACGTGTACTCACGGGCTCTGCAAAAGCGTTGTCCCACAGCACTGTTGCCGTGGCGTTATTGTCTTGGCTCCCGTGGACGATCACCACGACAGGCAGCGACAACGTCTGTGGAGACGCAACCAATGACATAAAGTGGAGCAAAGTGTGTGAAATGTTCAAATCTCAATCCAGGTATACCCCGACTAACACATAAAAAAAAAAAAAAAAACACTAGATGGGCTCACAAATTTAGCATCGATGTTGCGCTGGTCAGAACTGTTTGAGCAACGGATATTTAAACACAAACGATACAGGAGGGGATATAGACCGACATAGCTTCTTTATCCTCTGCGAAGAACGACTAATATTACTGCAGTCAATGAGCTGTGAAACTTGTTTATCATGTAAAGTATGTCTGTATTTTCTGTCCCCTGCTGGCCAAGGAACACACAGCATGATGTTAATGCGCAGCGACACATGAAATCAACATGCACAAACTGTTTTGTATTTTGACAATGTACAGTATCACATAGAGTGCAAAATCTCCTGTTACGTTCAAACTATTGTTGCGATTTTTGGTGGGGCTGGGACGGATTCATTTCCGATTTCATTTCCATTCACTTCAAGTGGTCAGAGCTGAAGTGTTTCAATTTACGCGTGCGATCACAGAACAAATTAAAGTCGTATGTCAAGGTACCATCCGTTTGTATTGACTCACCTTCACTTGGAAGACGAGCTCATTGCCTCCGACACTGAACTGGGACTCGAAGAGGATGGTGAACTTCTCCTCCGTGACCGACTCGGCTCCTCTCCTGTCCGACCGTTTGATTCTCTTCAAGGACTGCATACACGAGACATCGAAAATGATCAATCATACTGTATATCAGGGCTGAAATTGCTGCTTATAGCATATACGCAAACCAGCAAGATGAGAATGCTCAGTTTGATGAACGCCATAAGTCCCATCTACCGTTTCCCCGTCATTACTATATTTTGTACGTTTAACATGATATGGGAGGTAAAAGAATATGGAGACAATCATCCCTTGTTTTCTTTGTGCGTTTCATCCACTTGGACAAATAAAAGCCTCCCTCAAACACACGTCCTGACATTTGAATAAACAAATAAACGCCCGTGATGGCTCTCTGAAGAAATACGGTGACGAGCAGCGACTGAGCAGCATTTATCCCTGCGTGACAGCTCGCACGAGGGCTCTCACCATGTTTCTGAAGTGAGCGCTGAGCGTGCCTGTGGTCTGGTGATACTCCATCACGCAGTTGTTGTTGAGAATTTCCCCGCTGCTGTCACTAAATAGCAACAGAAAGAGAATTACACTGAGAAACCATCCATTAAATATATTTTTCCCCACACGAGAAAAATGGGCGCTGAAGGTTTTTTTGAGGGGTGGGTAATATTCTAATATGCATTTTTCCATTCTATGTGCAAGCAGACAAAACAAGCTGCCGCCGTAGAAAGACGAAAAGACGACATAATGGCGTTATTGTTCACCGATTTAACTGCTGACGCGTTCCCTGCTGCGTTTGGAATTCGAAACAAGGCGGTCGAACGGCGCTAAAAGTGGATTTTGCATGGACTTTTCTCAGCCATTGTCCGAGTTCCATCCATGCCTATGTGGTGAGGCTTGAATTGAGTGGAATCCAGGACAGAACTATTGTAACCATCAGTGCAGGGAAGGTCATAAAATGTTTTTAAAAAAACTAGAACTCCGTCCCTGAATTGTAAACTTGTGCCTTTTCACCCAAGAACTGTGGCGTGTTTAAAGTAACACTCCATCGGCATGTTTGAAGACCTTTCTAAGGCCAGGCCACTTTAACTGCATTTAGTCACACCTATGGACAATTTAGAGTCTTCAATGAACCTAACATGCATGCTTTTGGTCCCAACCAATGTTCCCTCTAAGCTGCACGTGTGAGCAATTGCGCACTGCTCTCACTCTTCTGTATGCAGCACAAAAGAAAAATCTCAACCTGAGCTGTATTCGCATTTTGGATTTTCCTCATATAAAGAAATTGAAAAGTGTCAATGGTCAACGTGTCGTGCAATTTTCATGAGTTCTGTCCAAGGCCGTAGCTCAGGGATGTCAAACTCATTTTTATCCCCGGGGCCACATTACAATTACAGTTTCCCTTGGAGGGCCGTGGTGACTGAAACCATATAAAGAAGTCAAGAATAAAGTTTTATTCAATTATTGTTGAAGTAAGTGTAATGAGGGGCTTGGTAACAAGAAAATGCTTCCAATGTGTCACTGATTTATTCCATATGAAAATTTGAAATGTCGGTACAGAATTTCGCAGGCATAATGGAAGTTGTCATCTTTGATTTGCTTTTGCAGGCCACTTAAAATGATGCGGCGGGCCGCATCTGGCCCTCGGGCCTTGAGGTTGACACTGGCGCCGTAGATAGTCATTTGGGGAGGCCCAAAGAAAATAAGAGTCAGGGATGAACAAAAGACATTCAGAAAATGTCAACGTGGCCAAACTTACTTCCTGGTGTTCTCGTTCTTCAACAGTGACTTGGCCTGCTGCTCACTGATGATGGTCGCCTTGACCTGCGGTGGGTTCATGTGCACGTTCAGCTTGCCGCCGACCAGGAGGCGCACGGTGGCCGTGAACTTGGTCTGGGTTTTCAGCACCTGCGGGGGCTGTTTCTCGATGATGAAGGTGCTGAGCGGGTGGGGGGGGGGGGTCCACAGGACATTCATTTGTTTTTGTTGAGGTTTGATGAGTACATGTTTATCGCATCACCATGGCAACTGAACTGGTCCGTCATGTAATTCCGGTAATAGAATCTACTGTATTCTGCTAACCACTTGAGTCATTAATATTATACATGCCTGGCCTAATTTTGATATTTTTATGAGCACTTTAAATACGTTTATTTTCGAGGGTAATGTTGTAAGATGAGTTGGAAATGATTTTTAAGCATGTGGGGATCATTGTGGGTTCAAGTATTGATATAGGCAATTATAGAAAATAAGGAAGGGCATCAATATTTGCATTTTTTTTGGGGAGCTACCTTGTGACCAAGGCTGAGATGATGTCTGTGATTGTGCTGTTGAGTTCATTGAGGAGGTCTTCAATGGGACCCGGGATGGGCAGCTGTTGCCTGAGGTGCTCGGCTCTCCGGATCTGTTGCCGGTTCTGCCAGATGGTTTCCGCCAGCTTCTCGCACCTAATACACACACGGGTTCGCCGATAGCGCCTTCAATTGCACTTCATTTGCTCCGTCTTCATGTGCTAATCACAAAGGGTACTGCGCTAATGACAAGCAACACAAAGAGACACGAGTCTCACTTTCGTCGAGCATGAACTTGGCGGTAGTCCAGTGGGAGGTTGTAAAGCGACCACCTCTGTGATTCCACATGGCCCTCATACGGGGGGGCAGAACCTAGCGGGAGCCTCGTAAGGGGCACAGATCCTTGCCGGAGGCTGAACGGAAACTCACCAGGACTGCAGAATGTCCATGCCCCCCTCCGGCGGGCCCCCGTTGCCCGCCAGCTGTTGCCGTCTCTTCCATTGGATCAGCTCGTCGTCCAGGATGACGGTCTGCTGCTTCCTCAGCAGCTGCAGCGTCTTCTGGTGCTTCTCTGCCAGGTCCTGCAGAACAACGGTAGCGTCAACTTTTCCGTTTGCGAGGCACGCGTGCAGCAGAAGAGAAGAAGAAGAAGAAGAAGAAGAAGAAGAGTCAAGCAGATACCAATCTGTACTTCTGTAGTGTGTTGGCCTCCCTCGTCAGCCATGCCTCCACTGTGGCTCTCTTGCTTAACAAGGTGGGCTCTCGTAACTGTCGGTCAGCAGGGGGCAGTGTGGCCAGGCTGGACAGCTGAGCTAAAAAAGGGGGTGGGGGGGGGGGTATTCATTCAATGAGAGAAAATTAATGGATTGCTAAGAAGAAATTGTTTCGAGGCTATTTTCCTTTTCATTGTCAGAAAAGCTTCTTGATGTTTTCGAGCAAGGCCGAGTCTCACGTCCAGTTAAAGGCATCTTTTCAATGTTGTCCATTTGCTGTTGGAAAATGGCTCCAATTTTGTGAATTGAAGTTGTATTGGAGTACAATACATACAATACATTGTTAGACCATTGAAAGGGACTGACTACCATGGAAACAAATACTGTAGATGGGTCTCTAGAGTGCCTTCCCACTTAGAGTGTGAAGTACATATTTTATCTACTTCTTTCTGAAAAAGTCTGTGGCCTTTCTGTATGTCGAAATTGACCGCGATTCTCCAATCATTTCGTTTCTGCGCTCTTGTCTCACCCTGGATGCGCAGGCTCTCCTGATACTGGATGATGAAGTACTCCTGGTTGTGCTGGAGCTTGCGCAGGTCGTTCTCCGTGTCCTGGGTGAGCAGACGAAGCTCCTCGAAGGCCTGGTTGATCTGCTGGTACTTTTGAGACATGCTGTCCAACATTCCGCCCACCGGAGAGTTGGACTGTTCGGTTGTATGGATGGGGTGGGAAAGAAAGAGTGTCATTTGACAGAACAGTGGAGCTAAAGTGAGAAAGTGGTGGTGGAGGGGGGGTGGGGGACACACAGGATGGGCAGGATGCACTGACCCTCGTATGAGCGAGTGACGGTAAAATCCATAATTGTAAGTCTGACATGGAGCAGTGCTAAGTAACTGTGCTCAGTCAGATCAGGACAAAACAGTGTCGAATCCTCATCAATCCACAAAGTGTACGCTAATCGAAGAGGCGCGTTGTGACTGGAAATCAATTCAAGCCAGGAGTTACCGAGATTCAGATGTTCATGCACTGCTGGCTCGATGCCTTTCATAACTCGTGGCATGCAATAAAACTTGATATATTTGATTTCCATCCTTTGCTACCGTGTCGTGCCAGGTCACTGCGGAAACGAGTGCTGCAAAAAAGAAACGTCCACCCTGTTTCTCGGGATGGGTTCACACTTGATTGGTTCAAAAATAAATTGGTTATGTTCCGAAAATGCTAACAGAAACCTCAAAGGAATTGTTCCAAAAGCTGAAAAACTTCTCCGTTTACAACAGTGCCAACAGTGTTATTTTGGGGCAAAGGGGAGGTTTACTACCCTTCAGTCTCGTCTTCAGCAGTAAATAGCATGCTCCATTGGGTTTAAGTCTAGGGAGTTGGCCAATATAAAACCTTGCACTTCCATCCCCTGATCTTGCTTTAGGCACGTGTATGATTGCGTCCGAATGTTTCCTTAAATTAAATTTGAAACCAAAGCAGTGTCTGTATAGTTGCAACGTGATGTGTGTGTGTGTGTGTGTGTGTGTGTGTGTGTGTGTGTGTAGTTTGTGTGTAGTTTGGCACCCACTCACATTGGTAGCCTCGCGCACGAGCCGCTGCTCGGTGTAGAGGATGTGCTTGATGCAGCGCACCAGCTCCAGAGGACATCGGTCATACGTGCTCTGAAAGACAAGGAGAACATGTGCTGCGGTTAAGCTCTCGTTAGCCCCTGACGAGGCGAGCGGCCGCCGCGCTCCGCACTCGCCAATTTAGACACATCAAGGAGCTTCTCGGGGGCCCGGCGCGGCGGATGCGCTGGAGCCCATTAGAGGAGCCTAATGACGGCAGTCTCTGAAGAGCGGCGCGCTTCTTTTTAAGCAATTATTAGCATACGAGTACTCGGCAGTGTTTTACATGTTCATGCTATGACAATTCAATTTCCTTGAATCGACAGTGGAACTAGAACCGCCAAAAACAACCTGTGCCAAACTGGGAAGGATCTAAATTATCTGTTATGGTGAATGTGGGTGGGAATTTGTGGTTTTTTTTTTTAATTGTCTACATATGCTCTGTGAATGCCTTTCACAGGTTCCACCGTATCTTCATTTGAGTTCAATGCATACATGGCACTTGAGCCATATCAGTTATGCATGCCAAGCAAAAGTCCCCAAAGTAATGTGAAGGGTGTCAAAAATCCCGGAATCCAGTTTAAGCAAAGCCAATCTCCCCTTTGCCCGGTTTCACAGCCTGGTTTCCGGGAGGCGAGCAGAAGGCAAGAGAAGAATGGATTTTGAGAACAGGGATCATAAATAGCAGTGCTGGCTAACTACCAACGGCCGCACTTGGACTGTCCTCTTGTTTTTCTGTGCAATGGATACAAACTGTTCTGAAACATGTGCTGCTCCTGTGTGCGCGCTTTCTAAAAAACATCAACAGCGGGGATGTTTCAAGGGGCGGCTCGTTCAACGAGAGAAATCGTCTCAATACAAGTTGTATCTTATCAAATGCGGCTGCTTAATACGGCATTTTATTTCTTTTTCTTGGGTTGGCCTGTGTGTCATTTTCATGACAAAACGAGCACTCTGTAGCAATCCTGAATTTTCTTTACCTTGAACGACTTACCTTGAGTTGGTTGGCATAGTGTCCCAGTTTGATTTTGAGCAGGAAGCCGTCCTCGCCGACCTGGTGTTCCGCCTTGTTCTGCAGCTCCTGGATCAGCCCATCCAGCAAGCGTTTGGCCTTGAACTCCTCTTGCGGGTTCTCCAAGTCGATGTTGTCCCTGATTGGATCAGACAGGTACATTCGGTTCATACAATACACCCGTTGTGAATTTCATGCTGCCTAATAAAACTGGCTACACTTTTGAGTCCATGTTTGTCCCTGAAAATAATGATCAATAACAATGGCAGACTTGCTGTGTATTTCCCGGCCTACTCATGAGAGACCTTTGAATTTTTATATTGCTAAGAGAAACAGGCTAAGCATTCTCCATCTGTCTAGTAGACGGCATTCAGATTTGGTCACAATCAGAAAAAAATCTTTCGGACAAGCGCCTCTTTGAAGGACCGCTGGAATTGTCCCAAATGCCCCAAAAATAAACACTAGAAATCAGTCTTTTTTCATGCACGAGTTCACAAGACTTGGGGCGTTTACTCATGACAGACCTAAAATTTTATGCTGTCAAGTCCAACTGGCATCAGGGGATGAATTTTCAACGTGACCTTGTGGAATTTTGTTCAACAGTTTCGTCGCGTTTCGTGGCGAGCTATAAAATATCCACAATGACAAAAATTCAAGCTTGGAAAATGCTTTCTGGCCACAGTTTGGTGAAGGCCCTTTTACGAACATGGAAATTATTTTTCGAAATTCAACTATCAAGGGAAAACGAACAGGACCAAAAAAAAAAAAAAAAACCCCAAGTATTAAACTGGAATTGGCCTATTGTTCTATTGCGTAAATCCATTCAAGTCAACTCAAACCTAGTTCAGTTCGATTAATTCAGGGCTGTTCGGGCCAAAAGAGGGGCACGGCGCATCCGTGACTCACCACAGCTGGCCCTCGATCCACTGCGACAGATAATGTCGCACTTCGATGGGGAAGTGCTGACCGTACAGAGACTGCATCTGGTGGAGAGCATCTCCCTGGAGCTGCTGGGCCTGGATCCACACTGCCATCTTCAAGACCCTGCCGCAAAGAAGACAAGACAAAGGGAGGTTAGTTGAGGCAAATGAGTTTAGTTGCTTGAAATATGACAACGAAGAAGAAAATATCAGGCAAATGTGAAGAACAGGCAGCCGGGAGATAATGGAGCGAAGTGGACGGCGTCCGATTGTTACCGTATTTTCCGCACTAGAAGGCGCACCTAAAAGCCTTCCATTTTCTTAAAAGCTCACAGCGCGCCTTAAAATCCGATGCGCCTTGTGAATGGTCATTACGGTAAATATTTCCACCCCAAAATGGCTCCTTGCTCGAGACAAGCTGACAACGCAGAGTTCAAACTTAAGGCGATCGGTTACGCAGTTGAACACGGAAACAGAGCAGCGGCAAGAGAGTTCAACGAGTCAATGTTATAACTCGCTGTTGGTTAAGTGAACTGTGTCGCGGCTTTATTTAATAAGTTTTACTGACGTGATCGTTCTGTTGGTGTTTCCTTGAGCGTAGCTCCATCTAGTGGATGCATTGTAGATTGCATCTTATAATGCGGTGTGCCCAATGTATGAAAAAAATTACAAAATAGAATTACAAAAATGTGAATTCCCTCTTTGTTTCCCCCCCGGGGAGCTGCTGTAGAAAATGGAATTTAGCTCATGAAACACTGAAACAATGAAAGATACTAATGTAATTGGTTTGATGCAAACTGCAAGGGAGAGATGATCACACCGCCAGGTGAACACTTAACGGCTATTTGGACCGTGTCCTTTTTTTTTTTTTTTTGACAGTGAAAAGGAAGGCAGCAGCACGGTCAGGGAGTGGTTTACAAGTCTACCTCACAGGTCAATGGTTCACGGTGTGAATGTTGGTTCCAGGCCTTTCTGCGAAGCCAACATTTGAACCGCAAAAGAAAAAAAAAAAAACAAGACTTTGTGTTGGGGTCACCTTCTGCGGTTGGTTTACCGTCAACACGCCTACTTGCTCTTCTCAAAAGGCAGCACAGTAGCCGTCCGCGGTAGGCGTGTAATGAGCGCGTGGGGATGTTTGTGGTTTATGTGGTGTTGGTGGTGAGTGCACACACACTGCTCTCAGTCCCGTAGCTAACAGCGAACGCACGCAAAATAAAGTCAAGCAAAATAAACAAAAAGTCACAATCAAGTAGCTTGCCGTCCCATGACTGGACTTTGGCACGAAGGACATGATGACGAGGGATTGGCCCGCGGGGTTGGTGCTTTCTTTCAGAGAAAACTCCCAAACCGCATAGACATTTCCAATTATTCTCAATTGAGAATGCGCACAAAGATGATCTTGTGCCTTGGTCTACACCAAACATAACTCTGAATGTTTGTTTCAATTCAGTGCATCATCATTACGTTACGAATTTCCCATATAATTAGTACAGTAATCTTTATCAACGTATACTCATTACATGTAATTCCTCTGACTATCATTGCAGCACTGATTCCCATCTTTCCTTATCTGGACCAAAAATCCTTGAAACGTTCTGCATGGGACCAACAGGCATGGGATTATTAAATCTAACATGCCAACATTATTTGTCGCGGGGGACTGAGGATGGGGCGGCTTTTACTTTCTTTTTTTTCTCGTTTTTTACATTGCAGTGAATTTAATTATGTCTTGTTCCCTGCGCTGTATAATGTCTCCGTTTTTCCTGCTGATGGAAATGAGCTCACAGAGCAACACTCTAGTGTGTAAAGTCTATTTCTTGAGCAATGTCATTTGCATATTTACCAAAATGTTGTCCTGGCTGCTGATTTTCACATTTCAATTTGTCTTTTTGACTTTCAACCACTCAACTACAAAGTCTAACTACAGTGTGTGGTGTGTTGGGAGGGGCCCTCAGACCGGACGCTCAGCATGGCGCAGGGTGAAAGTAAGTGCATTTAAAAAAAAAAAAAAAAAGCACCTTGAGGCTCGCACTGGCACAAAAATCTGTGCTATCTACTACGATATAGCGCCAAGTATTTTGTTTTTATTTATTTTTTTGAGACACAAGCTCCAGCACAGAAAAGCACGCGTGCAGATAATTGAACGTAGGTCCGAAAAAGGACAAAGCAGAACGCACATGACAGGAAGTCATTCCTTTCTCACGCTTAACAATAAATGTCAACTATATCCGCACAAATTTTGCTATCCGATGCTTCCTCCAATTGAATGGAATATATTTCAGATGGCACTAGAATCATTTAAGAGCATTGACCCTCAGGAAATGCTCATACTCTGCATACAGGAAAACAAAAAGAAAGCGAGACACAGTCGGATGAACCTTTGAGAAGAGACGCGCAAGCATGGCAGATAGACAATACTGAGTGCTTGAAGTAATTACAGACACATTAGTCATAAAAGGTTGAAAAAGACAGTCAATTGTGGATAGGCAGAATAAGGCGTTTTTTTTCCTTCAGCAAAATGGTGAAAATTAACTGCAGAGAGATGACAAAACCTCACCGCACAAACAACAGAGGGGTCATTTATGTGCAGCATGTAAGCCTAACAACATATAATTAAAGAAAATTGGGACCATTTCCCAAACAGGCCAAAATGCGGGGGAAGGAAAAAAAATGCTACTTGTACAAAACATCCACTTGAATGCAGTACAAATAAAATTTCACTCTTCTGGAGCCTCGATAGATTCATACTTTAGTTCCCATTCAAGTGTCCTTGCTAACAAACAAAATCAAAATTAAGCTTGTTTCTAAGCGGGAGGAAAAAAAAACAGCAAAATCTAAGCAGCAGTCATATTCTATCTTAAATGTATTAATTTGTAGAAAAGGATAATGGCTGACTCATCATCCACCTTTGTTGTCTCCCATTAGCGTGCTACATTCACGGTGCGGTGGTGGCATGTCACACGCGCGTTTAAAGCCCAGCAGTGAGCCGTTTTCATTTTGCCGCAGAGGGACCTGCAAAAAACACCAAAACCCGAACTCGAGCGCATTGTCACCCACTCCTTCCTCTCAGGGAAAACTGCCATTCATTTAATGTAAGCACTTCCTGTGAGGAAACTTGCGATGCCACCCACCATTCTGAGCGCTCTCCTTCATGACAGTTTGAGATGGCGATGGCAACACAACAACAACAACGCATGTTTTTGTGTCCAAAGCTTATTCACTTTCACTTCATTAAAATTTAAGCGGTCAAGTAAAATATCTGATCTCACTGTATAATGTGCCACCTGCATGAAAAAAAATTATAGAGAGAGAGAGAGAGAGAGAGAGAGAGAGGGTGGGAGAGGGGTGCCAAAGGAAAGAAGGGGAGAGAGAGAGAGAGAGAGGGAGAGAGGGAGAGAGAGAGAGCGCAAAAGGTTTATTGTTAAAAGTACGTATCATATTTTTGGGAGGAATATCTATTTTCCAGAGAATAAAGACGTTTTTTCCAGAATAAAATGCGCAACATCACAAGAAAAAGTTGTAATTTTTTCAGCTGATAAAATATCATTTTGTTTTCAACTTTGACCTCAATATCATATTATTCCAACTACATTTTAGAAAAATCCAACTTTAGTCTCGTAAGATTAAAACGCTGGATCCCAACAAAATATGTCAATGCTCTCATTGAGATCATGTTTTTTTTTCGTTTTCATATTTTTCACTGATCCATGTTTCTGCTCACCTTGCATACCACCACCCACACTCTCCTCTCTCGCACTTTTATGAACATCTTCATTTGCACTACTTAAGGTGGATTTTCTAAAATTCATATCTAAGCCACCTCTGTAGTCCTTAATATACTGATTCAATTAAAAAAACAAAACAAATTGTGCATTAAAGTTCAATTTAAATTGTCGCAATTGTAGCTGTTGAAAAATCTGACTTAACTGTGGAGAGGAAGTGCATAATGGCTCTATCACAGACACATTTATAAAAAAATAGTCAGGTGAATAATTTCACTGATTGTGACATTTCACACTTGGAAAAAAAAACTTTTTTTCTTGAAGTGGAAAAATAGCCTCGGAGATTTATTGACGATCGCCACCGAGGACCAAAGCAACGATATCCTTCAAGCTTAGCCTAACTGAACCATCACGGGAGGAGGACAGAAGACCGTTGTTGTAGCGTGTGGACACATGACCCGGAATTGTGGCTCACAGCTTGAAGGGGAGGGCGCCAACATAAGGCTTTTTGAAAAAGAAACGCTGCAAGAAAGAAGGAAAGGCTTTTCAAAGAAAAACGTTGTGCCAGCCATCGAGGGCTGGGGGATACGTTGCAGCACTGCGGCCCACATCCCATCATGCCGCCAACAGCAGGAAATCACTCATTAGCTTGACAGCTTATCGGCACGCACGGACCCAGAAGCATGTGCAAATGCTGACACGTGTCCATCCAAACCCCCGCCCGCCATCGTTTCACTCACGTTCTAATGTGGGAAATCAAAAAAAATATCATTTTACATCGCTGGCCAGAGGGGGCAACACATGTGATGGTTGGCTCACTCGCCATGTCATCTGCTTCCCAATAGACCCGTTAAAAAGGTCAGCTCGATATGGGTTTGAGCCTCATCTATCATCAATTTTAAAAAATGTGCGCTCACATGCGGGCAATTAAGTGACTCAATGCCGGAGAACTCGACTTATAAAACAGACACAGTACGACAGTGCTCTAACTCATGGTTCTTTCTTTGTTTGTTTGAGCCAAAATTTTCGGAACAAACGAGCGGCAGAACTCGAGAGTTAATTGAAAAGATAGTTGAGCAAATTAAGTGACAGCAGTGCCTTGAGATCTATCTATCTATTTGTGTTTATGTTTTGACGAAAGCTGTCATGAGTTTGAACTATGGTAGCTCATAAGAGATTAAAAAAAAATGCATAAAATGCTCAGGGCAACGACATTAAAAAAAAATAATAAAAAAGAAGAAGATAAAGTGCGCCCTCTTTCACCGCAAAATCCTGCAACAGAAGGGAAAAATCAGGTATGTATTAAGTTGAAAATCTGACATAGTGACACAGCAAAAATTAGCGTTGTTAAGAACAAGGAAGTCAGCTAACTAGGTTAGTTGACCGCAAAAATTAGTCAACA